CGTGTGATCGAGCCTTCTCCGAACTGGACCACCACCTCGGGGTTCGTCCCCTTGGTGGTGGCGCAACGGCCCGCGCGCTCGTGAGTCAGTCTCAGAGGCGGAAAAGGTACCCCTACCGCGACCTTTCCATCGGTTTCGCTTTTTTGGGTCTCCTGGGAGGCCCTCGTTACCATCGCCGGCTTCGCCTCCCGTAGCTCTGGATCCGCCGTGCTCTTTGGGCGACTTCGTAAGTAGTCGCCACGGGAGAACAGGAGGGAGACGGGTCCTGAGGCTTTTCGCCGTCTTGAGACTCGTCGGGCCTTCCACGGGCCCCGGGGCTGCCAGAGCACGGCTCAGGATGAAAAAATGGTTTTGGGGAAGGCACCAGGGTCCAGGACCCGTTTCCTTCAGCATTTGTTCCCCTCATGCTATGCTTGTTCCCCTCAGAGGAGGAAAGGTACCCATACCGCGCTACCCTTCCCTCGGCTTCGCCGTTTTGGGCCTCCCGGGGGGCCCTCGTCGCCACCGCTGGCTTCGCCCAGCATTTCTGGTCAGAACGCACCTCGGGAGAGGTCTGGGGAGCAGCGGTGTCGGTACCTGTTGGTTCCCCCGTCCCCTGGGTCTGGATCCGCTGTGCTTTGGGCGATTTCGTAAGCAGGGCGGAGATGTCCGCCCTGCTTTTCAAGCTCACTTCTGATGTTGAGTTCCGCCATGCGTTTCCGGTCGCCGTTTCCGCTGTGCGTTTGCGGAAGTGAAGTGTCCGCCCGAGTTTTCTGAGGAGGAGTTCTCCATGTTTCGTTTGTCCGCATCGTTTGGGGTGCATTCCTGACGCAACGATTCACGCTTCGCGTAGCTTCACCAGTCACCATCGTTTACCTGAGGTGCTGCAGTGAGTCAGAGTTAGTCGCTCGCGTTCGCACTCTCCCCCCTCTCTTTTCCGAGGTCTTGGACGGCCTGTCCCTGTGTGCACGCACGTGGACTTCGCTTGGTCATTGGCCATTCGGATCCGCGTTCTGCCTGCGGCTTTACAGTGCCAGCTGTCCGTCTTGGCCTCGCTTCCGAATGTGGTTCGGCTGGAGCTTGGCGCCGCAAGGGCGACTTCTCCCCCCCGTTCCGCTGCTGGTCGCCGCGCTTTTGCTTCCCCACCTGCTGGGATGTCTGGGCCGGTCACCTGACGACGCTGTCTTGCGTCTCAATGAGGGGCATGCGTCTCAATGAAGGGCATTTTGTCCCTGGCATGTGCATACGCCACTGCGGCCAATTTACATCGTACCGCGCCCCGGACGTTGTGTCCGCTCCCTGTCCCTCGCCTTGGAGCCGCGAACCAAAAGTATCTTCACCAGTTGACTGGATCCGCCGCTGTCGCGCTCGCTTGCGGCCGCTGACCAAAATAGGTATGCTTGCATGGGATTCATCAGAAACGAGAAGGTTTGCTCTCCTCTGTAGTCCTTTTTCCTCTCACGCTGCGCAGCGCATGGCCCCGTCGCAACTGTTGGTTAATCCCATGCGTCAGCTTGCCACAGTCGGCGGGATCCTTGCTTTGAGGCACATCGACCGAGTTGTATCCAGCATATTCCACCACTTGGTCTCAGAGGAGGCCCAATCGGCGCCCAGCTGGGCGGAGTGGGAGGAAGCCTCCCGAGAGTCGGACGCCAGGTGCTTCGACGTGGTGCGCGAGCTGGAGGTCTTCCACTGCTCGGCCGCGCCGTCTGGGGAGCCCAGCGAGCCGTGCCCAGCCGCGCCAGTGCGCCCAGAGGTACCAGAGTGCCCGCCCGTCGACGACGCGCTTGATTTGTTGCAGAAGATTGGTGTGAGTTTCCTCGGACATCTCGTGTGGCGCACGGTCTCGGCTGGAGCTCACGCTGTCAAGACCTGCTGTCGACGGGATGGCGTTGGTCGTGGGCTCTCGAGCAGCACGCGGTCGGCCAGCACGCCGCAGGCGCGGGGACGGGATCGCCGCCGTGGAGGAGGAGTTTTTGCGTAAGCTCGTGCCGGGTAACCTCCTGGGCCTGTGGTACGTAGATGACGACGTGTGGCACGAGCGGCTCTTAGTACATCCGAGTACCGACGGGAAGTGGTTTGTATTCACGCCCGACGGCGACTTCTATGAGGAGGATGTTTCTTGTCGTGATCCTGAGAACGGTGCGGCTCGAGCGGTCCTGCTTGATGACGCTGGCACCGATAGTGCGATTGCAGCTGGCACCTTCTACCGATTCAGGATGTATCCAGGTGACTCCGACCTCTTGAGTTTGATGAATGAGGCCCGAGGGGCACTCGAGGAGAGTGGTCATGGCGAGATCGAGGACCATCCCAGTGAGCACGTTGGGTCGACAGGTGATCGCGTCCGACTTCGGCCTAGTGGAGATCCTGCTCGGCGTCTCCGAGGCAAACAAGGGCCGCCCTTGTCGCCTCCCGTGGCGGCGCCGCCCGCCCTGGCTCCCGCTGGAGTCGGGGGCGCCCGGGCGCCCCCGGGCTCGCCGAGAGGCGGGCGGGCAGGGGCGTTGGACGACGGCGGGTCGCCCTTGGACACGTGGGTGACCGTGGAGACCGTCGGCGACGCGAAGGAGGGCACCGAGGTGGTGCTCATCAAGGACGGCGACCTCGTGCGGGGCGACCGGGCGCTGGTGGGCCTCTCCCCCGGCGCGTGGGTCTTCGCGCGCAGGCGCCGTGAGGGGGCCGTCGGCGAGGCGAGCCCAGGGGGAGACCCCGCGGGCAAGCCCCCTGCCGCGGAAGCCTTGGCCGACGCGAGGGTGCTGGCGCCCGTCCGCTACGACCCGAGTGGGCGGCGCTGGGACGACCTCAACAGTTCGGCGGGCCGCGTGCACGCAGAGCCGATGGAGGACTTCCCTTTGGAGGGCGAGAGGTCGACCATGTGGCTGATGAGGTGCGTTCGCGACCACGGGGGCACCTTCGACGGCCGGCAGACCAAGTGGGCCCTAGAACACAAGATCGACCGCAGCAGCACGGCCTACCTGATGCATGACCTGCTGGGGCTGGCGCTCGACCTCAGCGCGTGCCACGGCCAGCTGGACGTGGCGAACCCTGGCTGCGTAGAGGTGCTGAGCCGGATGTACCAGCTGTGTGAAGAGACGACGGGGTCCCCGCAGCTGGAGGGCCTCGAGCGCTACCTGGGCCGCGACCGCACGGGCGGGCTCAAGCGAGGAGTGGCTCTCTGCCCGGCCCTCGCAAAGCACGCCACAGACATGCAGCGCAAGGAGACGGAGGTGCTGAAGCAGCGCCGCAAGGCGAGAGAGGAGGCCGCCGCCCTTAAGACGAAGGGAGGTGGCAAGACCCAAGGCTCCGGACAGGGGCGATGGGCAGCACGGGGGAGCGCCTCGGCCCCCGCGCTGCGCGCAGAGGCTCGCTCCACCGACGTGCTGCAGCTGCTGGGTCGGGTGATGGCACGTTCCCGCTTGCCGTTCCTGAGCCGCTCGCTCGTCATGAGGGCGCTTTTTCGCGAGGTGCCTCCCGTCGGCTGGGGGGGCGCCTTGCTTGCCATGACATGGCCCGCCAGTCAATGAGTGAGTGCATTAAATTTGCTTGCCGGTTACGGCGACCCAGTCGCTTCGCCTGGCCCGCAGGGACTGTCAGATTCTGTCTTTCGTGACGTTCTGCGCTTGCATCGGGACCGCGCCCCTGTCCCACCTGAATTGGTTCCTCAGGCAGCCTTGCGAGAGCTTCTGGGGTCTGCACCGTCGGGCTATTCGCCGGAGCCCGACAGCGCTGCGGTACGGCCCTACGCCCGGGAGGCAGTGAGTTGGCCCGCCTGCGGGAACAAGCCGGTTGATGTCGTGACCGCGGCCCCCCCAGACGTCCTTGGACTTTTAGCGCAGGGCCTCACTCCTGCTGGGTGC